AATGACACATTTAGTAATGTCTGGAGAGGTTTTTGGAGAGGTGCTACTAACATTTAGTGGGATAGAGGCCAGGGATACTGCTAATATCCTATAATGCACAGAATGGGCTTCCTTAACAAACACTTAAATGGCCCAAAATGTCCATAGTGCCAAGGTTGAAAAATTTTAACCTTAAATGCTTCTCATACTTATATTCTTCAATTTTCCCAGTAGACTCAAGTTTATTGATGCTACTTTAGGTAGCATCAAAGCCTACAAAGATGACACATACCAGAATGTTCTTGATACCACTGTTTCTAAGAGCAGAACGCAGAGAATAAATGAAAATGCCTACTGACAGGAGAAGGGATAGTTACAGAATTTCCAACAATGTAGTATTACACTTTGTGAAAATGAAATAGAAGTACACACAATATGAATTAGTCTTCATAATAGAATGTTGAGTGAAACAAAAAGTCCTTGAAGATTATATGCAGCATCACAGCCTTTTTGTGAAGTTCAAAAACAATAAATAAATGTTGTTTAGGCATACACTCATAGCTGATAAAGCTGTAAGAAGAAGTCAAGGGAAAACATAAAATTCAGGATGGTAGCTACATCGAATGTGGGTGATAGGAAGTTAGAGGGTAGGTGAGGAAAACAAGTAGATGTAGAGTTACTGTCAATGTTTCAGTTCTCAGGTTGGGCAGTGGGTTTACAGGTGTTTGTTATATTCATTAAATAAACAAGGTAAAAGAGCCAAGGATTATAATGTGCCTGAGGTCCTAACGAATTAAATTTAACAAAAAAGGTGCTGAAATATGAATCCAAAAATGGATGATAACAGCAAACAACTAATAAAGATAATAATAATAAAAACAACACATAATAAAAAAAAAGTAGTTATTATGCACTTACTATGGGCCAGGCCACTGTTCTAATAAGGATTTTCTATGGATTAACTCATTTAATCTTCACAACTACCTTATGAGCAAGATATTATCCACATTTTACAGATGAGGAGACTGAAGTAATTACCCCTAGGGCCCTGGGTATAAAATGAAAGAACAGGGATTTATTTAAACCCAGACGGGCTGGCTCCTGAGCACAGCACTTTATACTGCTTCTCCAACTGCAAATACAACAGTTGGAACATACCTAGTTCTGACCTATCCTCCCTTCTGTTTTAATAACCATCTTTGGTTCAAAGACTGGCTCAGACTTAAGTTGTTAGAAAGAAAAGCCTCAGTCTATCTACCTTGCTGAAAGGCAGTTTTGCATAATGGTGACCTGGTGAGGTGACCTGGGTTGACGGACACCTGACTTCTGATTTCCAGCTCGGTCACCCTGGGCAAGTTACCTAACCTCTCTCTGTGCCTTGTTTACTCATTTACAAACAGGGCCTATGTAGTACTCCACCTGCATCATAGGGTTGTTATGCTCGTAAGTTACTTATAAAAATACACAGAAAAGTCTTAGCAGGTATTATATAGATGCTGGCAATTATTGTTAGCTGTAGTCTCTATAGAGTCATCTTTATTTTTGTTATTTCGTTTCTAACACTATCACTCTGTCAAAGCGGTCCACTGACCAAAAGGAGATAAGGATTTTTAAAAAATTTTTTAGCAGCTCTGCCTTACAGCACACACCAATTCAGCACCTCCACATCCCCAGTAACTAGAATTTAGGACAGCTGTGCCCTTCAGAGGCTGCGCTGATGCTTTGCCCTTGTGCTCCTAGAAAGCATGAAGGCCAAGATCATGGCCCCCCCCAGACCCCCCCTCCCGTGCCTTTGGGATCAGGTCCCCCTTACTTCCCCACCTCCCAGGCTCCAGCCTGGCGGAACTCTCCGCGGTGCCCAAACATCCTCTGCACCGATTTCTTAGCCCTTGTTTCTCTTCTCCGCCTTCACGAACGCTTTCGCACTGGTGAGCTGCCCTAAAAGACTTCCTTCACAGTTCCCAGGGACTGGTTAAAATCCCCCTTCCATGTTCCCACAGCACTCGCTACACATTTTTGTTACAAAGCCAACAAAAGCGTTACGGCAACGCGTTATCTTCGCTGGTGCCCCGCCTCCCGAGGCTGGGGGCTCCACGAGGGGCAGGACTCATCTGGAACCCGCGGCGCCCGCACAGCGCCTGCCTTGCGCCCGGCCTCCGATCAATTTGGCTGGTTGAATGAATGAATGAACTGTTGGTTGCCCGCGCCGGGAGAGAGAAGATGCCGAGGCGCTACGTCTCTGGCCCCAAAACCAGCAGAACTCTGGGAAAGAGCGGCCCCCGACCTCGCGCACACGGCCGGCGCTCGGTGGTCACTGGGTAAGTGCGATGCGCAGCCCCTGAGCCCC